TAGGAACTAGGGGACTAAGGAGTAGTGGACTATGGGATTAGGAACAAGGGGACTAAGGAGTAGTAGACTATGGGATTAGGAACAAGGGGACTAAGGAGTAGTGGACTATGGGATTAGGAACAAGGGGACTAAGGAGTAATGGACTATGGGATTAGGATCAAGGGGACTAAGGAACGAGGAGACTAGGGACTTGTGGATCATGGAAGTGGGGCAAAGGGGGAGTTGGGCACTAGGGACTATGAGACCAGGATATAGAGGGACCACAAGATTAGAGCACTTAAGACTAGAGGACTGTGGGACTGCGGTGCATCATCTCTGGAAGCCTGTTTACTCCTGCTGTGCAGCTTTCATGTGGCACCCCCTGCTGGACAGTGGAGTCATTACAGAGGCTGTGCATTGTGTTCAACCACCTTTCACTGTAAATCAGACATGGGTTCGCGATCATTTGTATCTGCTCTGAATCCCCATGGGCCAGAGTAAAAACTCCATCCACTTTAGGTAATTCAGGGACCTCATGCCAAGTTATGTGAGCTCCGTGTTTGATTCTTTGGGCTTCAGTACTGGAAGCAGTCCAGGGTAATTCTGGGAAAGTATGGAGCTGAAAACAAAACCAAACTACAGCATAACATGCTGCCAAGGGGGATTCTTAGATTTGGGTATATTGTGTAGACATGCTTCTATTCTTTTTTGAAGGAAATATATTTATTTATGCATGTAATTATGTAGTCTTTTTAATATACGGATAGCGCACTATTGTATACGAAGCAACATGCCAAGCTTGCAGTTTTGCAGTGTTCATGTGCTGCCACCTTCTGGGTAAACGATGAACTGACTTTCAGATTAATATTCAGAAAACTACACATTTATATTTAACCCCATGTGACACTAGGCTTTTCTCCGAGGGATGTAAGATTAGAGAGACCTACCAGAGAGAAAACTACAAGCATTTTTTTCATATTTAGTGTTGTATTTACATTTATACTTATTTACATTTTACATATTTATCAGACGCTTTTATCAAAACGACAAACAAATAAGGAAGCAAATTGATACGGTGCTGGGCGTCGCCGCGGTACCCGAAGTGCTTGGAAAGACTAAAAACAGCAAAACATTGGATCAAAGATCGAGTCCAAGCACATCAGCTATAAAAAATAATACTTAAGAATATCAGAGCTCAGCACCAGCATGTATGGGCCCTCAGGACCTGTGATTATGAGAACAGAAACACCCACGCAAATCCCCAAACTGCACAATATTGTGTTTTGAGTCAAACCTCAATCAGTCTTTAGGTCCATGATACTTTAACAATATCCAGGAACTCTGGCGCAACATGCAATTCCCAAATCCCACCACTAGATGGCGGTTTCCTGCCGTGAGCCGAAACAGCCGCCGGAGGGCTGATGCGCGGCAAGTTTCCCCAGCCGCCAACCAGCGTGTATCAGGGCCGCGTCTGGGTCAGGCTTTTGCCTGCTGCTTTCCTCCAGCTTATTATCTTGTGTAACTTGGTGCTGGGCTCCTCGCCATATAAACAAACTCAGCCTCGCAAACATTAAAAAACCTGGATGCTATAAAAGGATCGTCTCCCATACTCCCATATTCCATTCTGCTTTCATCCGACATTTTCACTGTCCTTTTATTTTGCTGCAAACGTAATCGTATGATTACATTATATCGCGACGTCCCTTGTCCACCCCTCCCCCCGATGTTTTGTTGAAGTTGCATGAAGGTCTGACACTTTTTTTTTGCAGAGCGATTTACAATTGAGAAAGCAGGGAGTTGAGTAGCAAACTTAGGGCGGTGTGACTAAGCAGGTATGGATTCACGAAGCTCAAATCCCGCGGTCAGCAGAATGACGTCACCATTGGGCCCTGGGGCAAGAACCTTAACCCCTCAATTGCCCCTGAGACGCTCTGACCTGCTTTCTCAATCGTATGTCACTTTGGATAAAAGCATCTGTTAAAAGCAACTTAATTACAATAAGTGTGATTGCTAAAGTTTATCTGTTAATGAAGTGGTTGCTCATCACATTCCGGGTTCAGGTATGACCCAGACTGAGGCCACGCCTCCCCTCGCTAAACAGGACCATGAAATATGATGGCAGCCCTGATCCCAGGGGGAGGGGCTCAGAATGTATGTCAGTTCCTCGCCACTCCGACAAGATGTGGGTTTTTAGGGCGACAGTGGTAATTCCCAGCCCCCCCGGTCAGTCCCTGGAACACCGGCATGGGAATCACACATCTATGTCCTGTTCACGGTTCTGCACACTGGGGGTCCCGTGAAGAGAGGAGGCAGGCGACACACTAACAGAGGTTCAGGCTTCTACACACGCAGCCCCCCAAAACCGAAATGGACTCAGGCAGAACATTCTGTTCCCCCTGTACACCCTGTGCCTTGACGGATCAAGATAAGACCTTCTGTGTGGCCTCTGTGTCCACAACTATATTAATGATGTAGAATCGATGTCTGGCAATTTCATTATATTTGTTTATCTAGCAAATGCTTTTATCCACAGTGACGGACACTTCAGAAAGCAGGGTCAGCTGGGGCCTGGAGCAGCTGGGGGTTAAGGGTCTTGCCCAAGGGCCCAACAGTGAAATGAGTTTTCCGACCAAGGGATTTGAACAAGGAACCTTCTGACTGTGGGATTTGAACGAACAAACTTCTGACAATGGGATTTGAATCAGCAACCCTTTGATCACTTGCATCTCCCTGAATAAAAGTTATTGATTGACAGTCTTGTTGAAAAAAAATGTGTAAATATCTGTTTGGTGGCAGATCAGCTGTCTAATGATAGAAGATATTATGAGTTCATGTCAGCCTGCATAGACAGAGTAATCAGAAGCCCAAGGTACAGACCTGAGGAGGGTATAGTTTGTGATTCACTTGCAGGAATATGGCCGTCATAAATGACAGAGTTATAGCTGTGAAAAGGGAGTTTCTCAGGGGCACTTTCAGGGAGGAAGAGACAATTATCTGAAGGCAGATTTATTTCCGGGATACTGTATACCCCATACTGGACATGTCTGGAATACTGCAAGTGGAGAAACACAAAGCCGGAGATAAGGCCGCTTTGAAGCTGCTTCCCATCTCAGTCTCCAGCCAGAACTGGAGACACGCACACAAACACAGACTGGGAAGAAGGCTCTGTTTTGGAGAAACACTATGAAGATGGACTGCGGCTGTCACTAGGAGAAGTTTTATTTTATCATAGCTGGAAAAGGCCTTAATCAGCTCCTCCTGGACTTCAGGTCATCTGAACAGAGAGACCTTAAAGCAGAACAGATTAACAGGCAAAACTAACTAAATACAATGACGTCCTTATTCTGGAATTTGTGCTGCTGGATGTTTAACAAAGCCAGCTGGTACAGGGCCTGGTTTTGTAGCTTATAGCCTCACACTTCCAGGGTTGTGGGTTTGAATCCCACTCCTGCTCTGTGTGTGTGTGGTTTCCATGGTGTCCCTAGTTTCCTGGGCTCCCCTGCCTTCCTGTAACAGACCCCCAGTAACCCTGTACTGGGTAAGAGGATGGATATTTGACAAAGTGTTTGAAATCAGAACCACGTAACAGCCCAAGCCCTGTTGTGTTTGGCAGCTTCAGGGTAACAAATCTGACCCCCTTATCTCAAATCCACCGTGATCTGATACAGAGCAAACTGTCTTTGGTGGCCATTTCAACCTCCAGCTCAGAGAAGAAAAGAGAAAAGAGTTCCTTACATCTGTTCGATGGTTGATTTTTAAATATCATCCATCCATCCATTTTCTGAAACTGCTTATCCTATTCAGGGTTGTGGGGGGTTCAGAGCCCATCCCTGAGGCTACAGGCATAAGGCAGGGAACAACCCAGGATGGGGCGCAAACCCATTGCAGGTATTGAAGAACCAAGATGTGAAAATGGCAGCCATTCAATTGGTCGGGTGAGTTTTCCATACAGGTCCCAAAGAGACACCACCACCCCCTCAGTCAAGCAAATCAGAGCATTTCTATTCAAATGACATTTAAATTCTAGTGATGATGTGATTATACAGTGATGTCACATAAAGTGGTTGAAAAAGAATCAAGCAAAAGATTATGGTAACAATAGTAATAGAAACAATTAATAGTGAATGAAAGGCAGAAGATGCCGTTAACACAGGGCCACAAAAGTTAATAATCATTTGTATTCATTCAGCAGGTGATGTTATACAAACAAACTTTTTTTCCCCTTTTGACACATTTGGGAGGTTGACTATCAGTATAAACATAAAAAAACATTTAACACTGTAAAAAGCAAAAAAAAAAAAAAAAACCAACGAAAAAATCCCCCCCTTGACACATTTGGAATGACAATTAACACCGTAAATAGTAAACAGAACCTGCCTTTTTCAAACATGTATTACTGTGAATAGGTAAAAAAAAAAAAAAACGGACGAACAATTATCTCCGTTAATGAAACTACCTTTAACACTGTTAACAGTAAAAAAAATCTCCCCTTTTGTAATATTTATCTATGTAAATGGAGAAAAAAATCCTGGGAGGTCAAATATTATTGTAAATATATATAAAAAGCCAGTAAAAACTCCCCTTTAGATACCTTTGGAAGGACAAAAAACGAGGAGATAATTATCACTGTAAAAAATCTGATTGATTCAGTCCTCAAATCCACTTCATCTTTTCATCCTTCCTTACACTCCCGTTGAAGCGCCACAATCTGGTTCTTGACATAAAATGTAATGTCTTCCCAGGTTCTATCTCTGAGAGCTTCCGGAGTTGACCTAATACATTCTTCACACTGTCTTACCTGGAACCCTGCCAGATGTGATGTAGTCCATCAACATGTCTTCCACTGCTTTAACCTCATCTTGTGTCCATTTCTTTCTTATTGTGTTTGTGTAATCTAAATAAAGTCATACACAATTTTTGCTTTGTCAGAACATGTATGCAAATATACCAGTTGCATTTGTCAGCAGTCATGAAAGACAGTGACAGTAATCAGACAGTGACAGTAATCAGTCAAACAGCACAGTAGTATATAAAACACAAAGTTAACACTATTGCAGCCTATGGTAACTTACAGTATAGTACAGAGCAAAAGAGTCTGTCTTTAAAGCTAAATTATTAACTAATCTTATATTGTGCGAGCGTAAGAAATGAGCCTGACTACTGAGTCACGCGCAAAGGAAGGATGCTTTACAGACCTGATACTGGCTGTTGTGAAGAGCTTCCTGCTTCACTGGTTTGGCTTCTATTTTCAGAGCCGTTATTCCCCAAACGTACAGGTTTAGACACTGCCAATGATGTTACAACAAGATAAGAGACATATGTATATATTAAGATATATAAGGCCAAAAATCATATCACAATATTTAAGAGATTCTCTCAATGTCAATATTTATCACTATATTATAAAATAATCTTATTGAAAACAGGAAAACATGACATGACCTTCCTGGCATTTGCAATGTATTCAGTTATTCAGTTTCCCAAATCTTATGTTATTATAATGTGACATTTCAGTTTTGTATTTTTAATAAAATGTACAAATATGTAAATACCTTTTATATTTTGTTATTATAGTTTACTGTGTAGATTGTGAAGGGAAATAATTATTAATTTTGTTGTAATTCTGTAAGATAAAACACGAGGTAAGCGAAGTTCTGAATTCCTTCCGAATGGACTTTGGTTGTGAGACGACATACAAAGTGGTCAGTGGTTAGCAAAGTGTGATCTGATTCAAATGGAATCAAACTACCTCTGCAAGTTGAAGTGTCCCTTTGTT